CAGACACCTCTCTAAATATTTAAAAGTTATAAATCAAGCGAACAAACTGTTAAATACGTACTAGAGAGTTCTGGTGGTGTAATGGGTTATGCGTTGAGCTGCTAGCCACAAGGTCAGCAGTTTGAACACCAACGTTTCCCCAGGAGAAAAGTGTGGCTATCTGCTCCTGAAGGATTTCTGGTCTTGGAAGCCCTAGGGAGCAGTTCTACTTTGTTTCTGTATGGTCACTATGAGTCCAAATCGACTTGTTGGCATTGAGTTTGTTTTTTGTTTCTTTGACCCTTTATCTTGACAAATACACCTTAATTATTTGGAGTTATGATGGTGATAGTTACATGCCATGGAGTTGGTTCCATTTCACAGAGACTGTGTATAGATTTTCCAAGGCTGTAAATCTTTGCAGGAGCAGAAAATCTCATTTTTTTCTCCTGAGGAATGGCCCTACGGAGAAGATTCAAACTAATCTGGAAGACAAGGGTAAATTTAGATTTCTCTGACTTTGGGGAGTTGTGTACCAGAATGACGCTGGGTGGGGAGAGGCTGCTTCCCTGTCACCCCTGAGCAATGGCCAGTGCCCCTTTCCTTGTATACTGTAGGGGGACTCACATACATATGTGTGGGCAACCAATCTACACGTCCTCCTTCCATCCGTAATCCACCTGCCCTGCAAACACCTATCCCTGGTCATCCCTCAGGTCCAAGGAGCACACGCTAGGGCCACAGGCTACTCTAAGGAGGACAGACCCAGGGAAGGGGTTTGCACAGACCTGGAACAAGCTGGTGACCACCTGGGCAGGGACCTCCAGAGTCACAGGAATCGGAAGTGTGGTTTTGAAGGGGACCACAGGCTCCTTGGAGGCTCATCGTCATGGGCCTGCCGACTCCTCATCCCACAGGGAAAAGACAACTGGAAGAGGGCCAGAGCAAAATCCTTGAAAACACTCTGGCCAGGGTATACACCCTTGCCCAGGTTTAAAGGTGGTACTGAGCCAGCCTTCCCCGGCTTCTTTCAGAGTTGAGACTGAATTCACCTTTCTATAGGGGGGCAATGTGCACAATCCCCAAACAGGACATTCAGCCATTTGTATTATTTATATTCCTGGAAATTTTTAGTGTGGCTTGATACCAACTTCTGGATTTCTGGAGGTGGGGAGGGCAGGGAGGTGATGACAACGGGGCATTTTTTTCAGGTTGGTTCTCCAAGCCAGAGCTTGTTTCACTGAGGCACAGTTCCAAGCAGTCTCCTGCTACCACTGGTCCCTGCCCTGAGGGGAGGTTTTCTCCATCCCAGAGACAAAGGGACAAACAGAGGGACTAAGAGAGGAGGGTGAGCAGCCCTGAACAGCCCCCCACAACCAGCCCAACAGAAATCCAGGAACCAGCAATGGGCAGAGATGGTAAAGAACATCACTTTCTCTGGCCAAGTTTGAAAAAAACTTCCAACTGCTCTCCTACCGGCTACCGATCAGCCTTGCTGTCCTACACACACAGGGATACTTATATGTGTTGAGCTCTCACCAGGCGCCAGGCACTGTGCATATTCTCATTTAATCCTTGCAGCCACCTTATGAGGTGGGTTCTAATTCTATCCTCATTTTACAGGTGAGGAAGCAAACTCAACCAGTGAGGCTAAGTTGCTTGTCACAGAGTAGGTAGAGGAAACAGAACTCAGGTCTGTCTGACCCCAAAGCCCACATTCTTTCCACTCTAAGCAAACTGCCTCCCAGAAACAAGAAGCCGGCACAGAAGCAGAAGGGATGTAGGTTAGCTTGAGAAAGGGCTCCCTGATTGTGCTAGTGTGTGCAGCTGGGGGGAGACAATGGGCTGGGGCATCTAGACAGACATGGACATCTCTCCCCCCATGTCACCTCAATCTGTCCAAAGGCTTGTGATGATCTCTGGGGCCCCAGATAGATCCAAATGATAACATCTTGGTCTCTTTTCACCCTACAGTCCAGAGTCCTCGGTTCTACCCCAGCTAACCCCAAAGACTGACCGCCTTTCCTTTGTGGCTCAGAAACTCTCCACATCACACCTAATCTGACAGCTCAAGGCTTACTGTTCCAGAAATCTCCCATGAGGTCCTGGGAGCAAGTCTCCTATTTCTACAACCCAAGTTCCATTCCTAGGGTGCAAGCATGCCCCACATCTATGAAGTCCAACACATATGTGGACACATCTGTGATCACCTTTCTCTTGACACAGAAGGACCTAACCAGTGCCCAGGTTTTCCAGACCCCCAGGCCATTTGGCTAGCCCTCTGCCTCTCCATCCCCCTCACAGGCATACACTTGTAACCAAATAGGAACGATGCAGTGGTCCAGCGGTTCATCTGGAAGCCCACGTCCCAGCTGAACTCTGCAAAGACTCTTAACAATTTTGCCCACCCGCATAAGCCTTTTGGTCAACCCATCAAACCCTACCGTGAGTGAAGTACTTGGATGAAGCACTAGCCAAGTCAATGAGGTCCCCTTACTTCGTAGACCTCGTAGTCGGCGCAGCCGCATACCTAATGCCCTACTCTGTTCTTTCCCACCCCTAGAAGACAACCCTTGCGTCAGGGCGAGGCAGCCGGGAGCCTCTAAAGTTCCCCAGAGTTGAGCCGCACCGCTAAGATGCGCTATGTCGGTGCGCAGAACCAGGATAAAACCGTCCTCTCGGCCCATAAGGATCCTTTAGCTTTGAGACAAGGGACAGAGTAGGTAGAAGGGGCTTCCTGGCTCTCCCACCTTCCCTTAAGGTCTTCAGCAAGGACCAACCCGCGTTGCAGACTTACCTGCGGGGCAGAGTCGGAGCCCGCGGTGGCCACCTGCTCTCCAGTGCTCCGGAGCGCAGCGGCTTGGGACTGGCGGGGGCGGGGCCCTGCCGGGGGCGGGGCCTGGGAGGTAGTCTCACCCCTCCCCTCCCTGGGTCTCTGCCGGGGTTGGGGAGCCAAAGGTTTCAGGTGGGGAACGAGGAGGGAGCATCCGGGCCACTAGGAAGGGTGGGGCTCACGGTTTTCCAAGAGCTAAGTTAGCGCACCTGAGTCTCCAGGACTTGAAGATACTCTCTCCTGCAGGAAGCTTGCCTTTGTGCCTGGAACCAGTAGCTCCTCATGGAGACCCCTCACAGGAAGATGGCCTCAAACCACTCCTTAACGAGTTCCCCTTCCACCTGAGCTCCCTGCTCCCTTCTCAATAAAGCTCTCCAGCCTGGCTGACTGGGTGGGAGAGAGGATGCCCACCACCACCAAAGGCAGGGCTCATGTGCAGTGAATGAGTGAGTGACCAGCTGTATAGAGAATGAACCATTATCCTCAGTACCTCCCCCGCTCCGCCCCCAACACCAGCTCAGGCACCTCAGCTGTCACTGTTTAGCCCTGGAATGACAGGCGTCCGGACTCCGTGCGTTCAGCCACATTCAAGGCCACTGAGTTTAGCACCCTGGGCCTCTGCCCCCAGTCGCTAATTTTATTGACCTGTAAAAGGCACGTTGCTGGCAAAGCGGATAATAACTGAAGGCAAAGTGGAGAGCCGATGCAGCAGAAGGGGTCTGAGAGATGGAGATAGGACAGAAAGAAGGGTAGACTCTGGGTATTTGGTCAAGGGACTTTGGGAAATTAGGAAAAAGATGGGCCTGGAGAAAAAAGGAGTACATATCTCCTGGGGTTGGAGACAAAAAAGACTAGAACTGGAATTTTAGCCCACAGACAAGACACTGATGAAAGAAGATGCTGGGTGAAAGGATGTTTTATTTGCCATCCATCCTGAGGGAGAACCAAAGCTACAGAAGGTGGGGAGGTGGTTAGATGTCAGAAAGGACTGCCATCCTACTCTCCAAATCTCTGCCCTAGCCCCCTCCCTTCCTCTTGAAGGTGACTCCTGCCTGCTGGGCCTCTCTAACTACAGAAATAGTCCTTTCCCTGAAGAATCAACCTAGATCTTGCCTTTTTCTTTCTTGTAAAAATGAGAACAGAAAATTTAGGCCTTTGCAAGTCCCCTGACTCACATGCCTATCTGAGCTCCTGAACCCATTCCTCAAATCTTAGATCCCCCCGAGACGATGACCTAGGGACTAGAGTAGGATGAGAGGGTGGCATTGGGGTTGGGGTCTATTATGGGTTAGAGGGGGCAGAATGGCTTCACATTCATGACAACTTCAATTTAGACTTTTGATGTTCTTTCTAAATAAGGTTATGCATAAAGAGGAATGTTAAAACTAATATTAAAAATATACCACAAAACAAATCAATGAATGGGGAGGGTCAGAGATAGGGTTTATAAAGGGGTATGAGGAAACAGGTGATGGTGGTGGTTATGTTCCGTGGAGTTGGTTCCAACTCATAGTGGAGGTACAGGGTTTCCGAGGCCGTACAGCTTTACGGGAGTAGAAAGCCTCATCTTTCTCCTGTGGAACAGCTGGTAGTTTCAAACTGCTGACCTTAAGGTTCGCAGCCTAATTTGTAACCACTACGCTACCAGAGCTCCTTAATGGTGATGGTCATGTTTAGTATCTTGATTGTGGAAGAGCACCCATATATCAAAACTGATCAAATTGCACACTTTAAATGTTAGTTTATTTGATATCAATTATATCCATGAAGCTGTTCTCAAAATACTGCAAATTAGCTAGCCCATTTTTTCCCATTCTTTGTTTTTAATTTATAAAGAGCTTCAATAAATGGAAGTGACATGGCAGAAAAAGGACTGGCAAGAGATTGTGATTCTTAGAACCATGTGGTGACCTTCTGCTTCAGTTCCCCCACAACCCCATCCAGTGGCTTAGAAAGCGTCTATGCTGGTGTGAAGTGAGACCGGAGTCCTCCATTGGTTTCCTCAGAGAAGGCGTCAGAGTTAGTCTGGCCGCACACCAGTTCTTCTGTGACTGGAAAGAACAGCGCCCCAAGTGGATGATTCAAGCAAGAGAGGCCTGGACCCAGGTTTTGCCTGGGGAAAGATGGGAGTTGCTACAGACTCTAGTGCCCCCTGCAGTCTCAGGTAGGCACTGCAGCGACAAAGTGGTCAGTCGAGCAGCAGTTCCGAAAGTCTCTCAGCACAGTGCTGCGTGTAGTCGAAGTCAGGCACAGGGAAAGGCACGCGGGACCACTTCTTGGTATGGACCTTCCCTCTCGGGGTCTCCAGCAGCATGCTGTGTACTCGGAGCACTGGTAGCTTCACTGACTTGTAGTTTATCTGCAGACCCCAGCTCTAGGAGGGGACAGATCACAGGATCTGAGCCTCTGCTCTCAAACTGGGCTTTTCTCCTCAAATGGGTTCCATGAAGAGAAAGTGCTGACAAATCCCTCCCCCTTCACATAGTAAACTCCCTAAGACAGGGACTGAACCACCTTCATCGGACTTGGGGCTCATGAGGCAGGGGACAAACATTCCCCTTCAGTCTGGGAGCCTCCTAGGTAGGACTGTCTCCCTATCCTGCTGGGAGATCCCTGAGTACAGGACCTGGACCTACTCCTTCAGACTGAGGGCTGAGGACACTAGGACCCGAGACACAGGCCAAGCACTTACCTCCCCACAGTTCCTGCAGTTAATGGCGCCGCCAGGGCTCCAGTCCTTGAAGACTCTGTCCATTTTTACAGGCATAGGGGAGGTGGTGTAGTAAATCCTGGAAAGATATGGGGTTGGCCACATGGGGGAGCCCTTGAGCCTTTTCTTGGGTTTAGGACCTTCCTGCCTCCCAGAATTCGAGGTACAGGGCTTCCCGGGACCAGGAAACCTAATTTACACTACATCTACAGCCTCCATTCCACCCCCTCCTCCACTAGCCAAGGTCAGGTCTCAGCATTACCCATGTGCATGATATCATAGCTTCCCTCATTACTCCCATCCCTAATTCATCTTCTGAAAACATAAATGGGCTGAACTTTTCAGGCCTAACTTTCAAGATCCTCCATAGATTAATGTGTCTTCCTTCTGAATCGCATCATTCACAACTCCTTCCTCTCAGGTCAACTGGAATGACTCTTGTCTGTTTCCTCCTATCGTCCCTGCCTACCTATACTCTCTTCTTAGTTTTTTTTTTTTTAAATCCAAACCCAATGCAGCCTTGTAGACTTAGTTGAAATGCTGAAATGCTACCTTCTCAAATCAGAGAACTGGGTGAAAATCCTTGGCACCCAGTAGTATTTCATGAATGACTGGATGGGAACAAAGGTTTTGTGAGGGAGTAATGGTTGCTGTCTAGGGAGCAGAGACTGGGTTATGGGTTCTGGACAGCCAGCCCCTCCTGAGGTCCTCAGAGAACGTAGGACCAAGTATCTAGTACCTTTTGTAGCCCTTCAGCATTTGGAAGCCTCAGTTCTAGCTCTTGTTCAACCACATAGCTGTGAAGCATGGACAAGTTACTTAGCATTTCTGAGCCTCACTTTCTCACCTGTAAAACAGGTGTGGCATTGTAAGATAAGTACTGGATTGCTAACTGCAAGGTGAGTGGTTCAAACCCAAAAGCCACTCCTTAGAAACTCTATACAGGGTCAACCAACTCGATGGCACTTAATAACTACTAGACTAGTTCTGATGTGGTGCTGTAGATTGCCAACTGAAAAATTTGGTGGTTCAAACCCACCACCCACTTCTTAGAAACCCTACACAGGGTTGCTATGAGTCAGAACCAACTGGACAACTCCATGGCACTTAAAAACAACAGTTTGACATTGCTGTTGTTGTTGTTGAGTCCAGTTGGTTCTGACTTATATGACCCTGTATAGGGTTTCCAAGGAGTGGCTGGTGTGTTTGAACCACTGACCTTGAGGTTCAAGCAGACATTGCAGTCGAGTGCTTTTCCTATGAAAATGCAAAATCAGGACTAGTTAAAATGTTCTTCAACCTCATAAACCTTCAAAGAACTGTCTGAGGGGGGAGTCTTGGTCCCCACCCTACCCTCCCTCCTTCTCATCTTGACATCCCCTTTCATTAGTCTCACGAGAAGTTGGGGTTCACATTGACATGGTGGGTGCCCTCCACCTTCCGAAGGTCACTCCCATGACCCACTGCCACTGAGCAGTTGATGCAGAAGAGCCGCACGTGCTCCGGCTGGAACTGTTGCTGCTGCTTTGTCCGCTGTGCAGCTTGGGCTGCTCGTCTGAGCAGGGCAGAATGCTGCAAGTCCCGGATCTAAGGTGAGAGGGAACTTTCAGACTCAACTCCAGGTAGGCCCCAATGGGAACAAAGAGCTCCCAAATTCCTCAGATCATTTGTACCCAGAAAGGATTCCATTAACCCTCTTTTGTTTGGAGAAAAAGATAACTGGGGGGAAGGGCAGCAGAGGGAAAGGGTAAGCTTTCCAGATGAATCTCTGCCCCTTCTTTGGAGGGTTTCATGCAAAACTGCTGCTTTAAATCTGATAGAGTCAGAAAGATCACCCCAGGGGAGGGTGAACATATAGTTTTTTTTTGCCCAAGTTCGGACAATTTTGAGAGCAAACGAGGACATCATTAATACCTATGCTGGGACAACAGGACTGAACAGGGAGCACTCTGGGCAAGGCTGGATGCTGGTGGCCCTGTTGGAAGATGCTGTTATAAGCCCTGGTTCTGAGCTTATTCTGGGCTTATTCTGGGCTTTTCTTTGCTTTTTCCCCCCTTAGCCTGGTTCCAAAAGGGTTCTAAGGTGTCTCTCATAGAAACAGAGTATCTGGTGATGAGGATAATCCAAAAGCACTGGACAAGGCATGTTTCCAAGGCCTCTTGGAGACCACACATTGCCTTCCCTGGCAGCCCCACCCCTGGCCTCTACCCTTCACGCTATTCAAACCTTCCCCAGGTGGGGCCAACTAAGCCTCAAGAGTAAAGAGGAAGCAGATGGGTGGTGTGCAGCCCTCAGCCCCAAACCTCCATGGGACCTGAAGGCTGCCCACAGACCTTGGCTTGATACTTGGCTTGGTCCATCTTCTTCACAGCAGCCACCGCTTGCTCCATCAAGGCCTCTAGTGCTTCATTGGTCAGCTCCCGCCGATGCTCTCGACTGCCCTTGGCTGCTACAAAAGAGTACACACTCTGACCAGCCCGGGCACGGCCTCTCGCCTGTAGAAGGGAGCAAGGGAGGAGCCTCAGTAGGGCTAGGATTCCATGAAAGATCTTTCAAGGGTAGTTGTGGGGGCAGGGTGAGCACCTGGACCATGGAGATCTCATTGGTCAGGAGTCCATAGCGCACCACTACATTGCAGTGGGGGATGTCCAACCCTTCCTCAGCCACACTCGTGGCCACCAGGAGGTTCAGGGTGCCATCTCGGAACCTCCGGATTACATCTTGCTGGTCGCTCTGGGGTGGGGGAGAAGTGAGGTGGAAGAAAGTATATGAGGACCTACCTGCCAGCCCCACCTCTCTTGGTTCAGCCCTTTTACTCACAATCTTGGCAACCTTGCCCCTCTCCCCAAGTATGTCCAATATTTTGATCATCTTCTCAGAGGATCATCCAGTCCCTATCTTCCTTAGGGACACCTAAGAGTCCTTTTCCCTCTATCCTAGGGTCTCTCAGATCCTAGTCTCCTCAGATGACCTAGGCCATGGGAAACTGAATTACCAACCTCTTCTCCCTAAAGACCCCCAAACTGGAGGGACCTTTAACACTGGGCACCTCAGTGTTCAGCCCTCTCCTCCAGCCCTCTGTCCTTCTACCCTGGGGACATTCAGTCCACCCCACTCTCCCAGTGTCTGCCTGCCCCCATCTCTCTGCAATGGAGACCCAGTCCCTTCTTCCTCCCCTAGCCCCAGCCACCCCCCCCCCCACAAACCCACACCTGGGTCATATGGGGGCTCTGGTTGTTGCTTCCTGCCCCGATGAGTATTTGGGCCCTGATGTCCAAGTTCTGCAGGCCAGGCTGCTGCTGGAGCCAGAGCAGGAGTGAGTGGGCACTTTGGCGGGTACGGGTAAAGATGATGCCCCGAGAGCTGTTAGGGCCCCCAAACTGTTTCTGCAGGATCTCTTCCAGTTTCTCCAGCTTTGGATTCTCTGGGCCTTGATTTGCCAGGTGGGCCAGTTTGTTTTTGTGAGCTGCCGGAAAACCCAAAATAGAGGCACAGGACTCAGGCCTGAGGGTGGACAGGGCACTGTAGAGATCACAGGGATGGGTTGCTGGACTTAAAGGTCAAGGCAGACAATCTGAGGGAGCACTATGACCAGGCAAGGACACCCTCTACTCTGCCCTGCCTCAGAGGTCTGCGGTAGGTACTCCAGGGTCTGCAGTACCAAATCCTTAGTTCATATCCATCAGATCTGTACCCCCTTCAACCTAGCTAAAAGGCTGGCCCCTGACTTTCCCACTTGACTTCTGACACCCAGGACTGAGTCTTGATTGAAGGACTCTCCAGCCTCCAATCTCACCCTCTGACCACCTCATTTTCCCAGTCTAAAGGACTTCCAGGGACAGCTACAATGAAATGATTTTTTCAAAATCTTTCTATAACCTGAATTCATTTTCATATCTATGTCTTGACAAATGAGGAAGTTCAAGGCTATACCCACAACCTTGACGTTTGGTTAGAAAACTACAGTTGTCGTTTTCTAGCCTCTTCTTGCCCACACGGTCCTATGCCTCACCATCGAACTGTGCCAGCAGCCTGCGCTCAGCAAGCAGCACCTGCATCTTTGTGGAGCGCTCCTTGTCGTAGAAGTCTTGCAACATGGTCAGAGCATCCACGGCGCGGACCGTGTCAAGGATGAGCAGTGCGTCATTGTAGCGCCGCAGGTGGAGCATATACACTCTCTGTTGCTGGAGCCCGGCCTCGGCCGCTGTGGGTAGGACGCGAGGTCTCAGGCGCTTTCCGCTCCTGGCTCCGCCCTTCAGACTCTGCCCCTGGATGGCTCAGCTCCACTTCCTTAAAGCTAGCCCAGGCAGACTCCGTCCAATTGGACTTTACCCTAGGAGGCAAGTCCTGCCCCTAATACCCACCCTGCCAGTAGTCTTGTCCTTGGGCAGGTAACCCCTCTCACCGGTCTGGCTCAGTTTCACCACCTGCTGCTCGTACTTTTGTGTCCCGAAGTTCCGACTCATCTCGGGCATTTCCGGGTGATCGTGGATCTGGTCCATGAGTTTCTTCACCAAGTTCCCAAAAGGGTCCTGGGTGAAAAGAATTAGGGTGTGAGGGGATTCCTGTGCTCATACCCAGCGGGAGTGCTTACCCCCTTGTGACTCTGAGACTCCTAGCTTTGATGTTTCTTTTTTTCTTCCTTCTAAATTTTATTTGGACTCCTGGTGTGGCGCTGTAGGATAAGCACTGGACCACAAGGTCAGCAGTTCAAACTCACCAGCTGCTCCTCAGAAACCCCTATACAGGGTAGCTATCGGTTGAAACCGACTCGATGCATTTAACACAACAACAAATTTTACTTTGTTGCTATTGTTGAGAATAAAGGAACTCTGATAGCACAGTGGTTGCAAATTGGGCTGATAACTGCAAGGTCAGCAGTTCGAAACTACCAGCCTTCCCGCGTGAGAAAGATGAGGCTTCCTGCTTCCGTTAAGGGCCGCTCTGAGTCGGAAACTGACTCTACAGCACATAACTAACCAACCAACCATTGTTGAGAATATTCACAGCAAAGCATACATTAATTCAACAGTTTCTGCATACAATTCTGAGACATTTATTACATTCTTTGAGCGGAGCAACCATTATCAGCTGTGGGTTCATGTGCCAGACTGCTAAGCCATTTGAAATGCAAGGTCGGCAGTTCAAGCTCACCAGCTGCTTCTCGGAAACCCTATACAGGGTTGCTATGGGTTGGAACCCGACTTGACTTGACGGCACTTAACAATAACAACTCCTCACTTCACTTAGGAGTCCTGGAGTGGTGCTGTAGGATAAGCACTCAATCATAAGGTCAGTTTGAACTGCAAGGTCAGTAGTTCAAAACCATCAGTTGCTCCTCAGAAACCCGATATAAGGTCACTATGAGTCAGAACCAACTTAACAACAACTCCTCACTAACTGACATGGTTAGGTTCCAAAGACTAGGTCATTATGCAAAAATATGTATTATCCAAAAATGGAGGATGACCACATCAGATTGCAAAATGGATGATGACAACATCAATGTACAGCTGTCAACTTACGTCATTATATGGTGGTAGTGAGCTGCGTGGAGTCAGTTCTGATTCACAGTGATCCTTATAGTTTTTCTGCAGCTGTAAATCTTTATGGGAGCAGAAATCCTCATCTTTCTCCTACGGAACAGCTGGTAGTTTCAAACTGCTGACCTTTAGGTTAGCAGCTTGACTCATAACCACTATGCTACCAGAGTTCCTGACATCACTATATACCTGTCCAAGTATATAATTATATAAAAATATATATTTCATAATTGCCAAATTACATCATTATATAACTGCCAAACCATTGAGCATCAGAGCCTAGGAAGTGGATACAAACCTTAACCATCATGACTAGTGTTACCTTCCACCTGTTTATTTGTTATTTATGGCATTACTGCACAAAATAGACAGTAGATTTTTTTTGACTCTTGTCATGAATGTAAGGTAGATCAAGTTTTTGTTTGAGGGATGGCCACACAGTTTTCCATACCAGCTTACTATTTTCATTCCACCTGCAATGGATAACGGTACCCATTTCCCATAGCCTCACCAACATCTGTTATTCTCTGCTGCCATCCTAATGGGAATTAAATGGAAGCTCCTTGTGCCTTTGGTTTGCAACTCTCTGCTGGCTAATGATACTGAGCATCTTTTCATGTGACTGATGGCCATCTCAATGTCATCTTTCGTGAAAAGTCTATTCAAGACCTTTGCCCATTTTATGATTGGGTTATTTATCTTTTTGTTGTCAAGGTTTTACATATATTTTGGTTATGAGATTCTTGTTGGATACATGATTTCCAAAGATATTCTCCCAGTGGGTAGTTTATCTTTTCACTTTTTAAAGAAGTGTTTTGCTGAACAAAAGTTTTTCATTTTTAAGAGACCTCATTTATTTAGTCTTTTCTGATTGTGCTTTTGGTGTTCTATTGGATACTCCATTGCTGAAAGCGAGGGCTAACAGTACTGCCCTTGCTTTTCTTCTAAGAGTTTTATGTCTTTGTGCTTCCCATTCAGGTCCCTAACCCCTGCAGACATTCTAAGGCTGCACATCGTTAAGGAAACAGACAGCCGCACCTTTTTCCTGCAGAGTGGCTGGTGGATGCAAGCAGCTGGTCTTTTGGTTAGCAGTCTATCACTTTAATCACAAAGACAGAAAACAATTTTTGGCAAAAATATACCAAACAGGGGCCTAATCTCAAATATACAGAAAATATCAATACCTCAACAACAAAAAGACAAGCAATCCAATTTAAAAAAACAGGCAGAAAACATGAAATGACACCATGAGAGAACACATTCAGGTGCCCAGCACATATGAAGAAATGCTTATAATCATTAAGTCATGGTTTTTAAGTGCCATGGAGTCGGTTCTGGCTCATAGCAACCCTGTATAAGGTTTCCAAGGAGAAGCTGGTGGGGTTGAACCATTGCCATGCAGTTAGCAGTCCAGTACTTACCCTACAGTGCCACACCAGGACTTCATTCTGTTTGTTTACTTTTAGTGATGTAAAGTTGGTTCCAACTGTAGCCACCCTGTATAGGGTTTCCGAGGAGCAGCTGGTGAACTTGAACCACCAACCTTGTGGTTCAAACTCTGCAGAGTCCAGTGCGTTAACCCACAGCAGCACACCAAGACTCTTCACTTACTAAGTCATTGGTGGTTTGGTTTATGTATTGTGGAGTCAGTTCTGACTCATAGTGACTCTGTATAGAGTTTCCGAGGCTATAAATCTTTATGGGAGCAGAAAGCCTCATCTTTCTCCCACAGAACAGCTGATAGTTTCCAACTGCTGGCCTAGAGGTTAGCAGCCCAACTTATAACCACTAGAGAGATGTAAATCAAAACAATGAGCTATCACCTAACCCTAGTATTGACAGCATAGTTCAAAAATAAATAAATAAAAACAAATGCTGGTAGAGATATGGACAGACTGGGACCTCCGTACACTGCTGATGGCACTGTTTACAAAACAAAAAAAAAAGGTGCAATCACTGAACCACTGCAGAAAATGATGTGGTGCTTCCTTAAAAATTTGGAAATAGAAATACCTTATCATTCAACAATCCTACAACTAGTTATAGAGAAATAGGAGTCATGATATGAAGAGAGAGAGAGATACACATTCATGTTCTTTGCAGCATTACTCACAATAGCAAAAACAATGGAAGCAACTTAAGTGCCCATCAGTGGGTGACTGATAAACAAACTATGATACATACGCATAATAGAATACTACGCAACATGAAAGAATAACACTGAATCTGTGAAACACCTCATAGCAGAGGACAAGTATTATATTAGGCCATTATACAAAGTCAAGAAAAATTTTACACACAGAAACACTTGTTGATGGTTACCAGGGGTGGGAAGGAAAGGAAGAAGAACTAAGTAGAGAATGTTGTTGTTGTTGTTGTTGTGAAGTGCAGTAGAGTTATTATGTCTAACTTTACTGCCGACTCACAATGATCCCATATAGGATCTCCGAGGCTGTAAATCTTTACAGAAGCAGAAAGTTTCATCTTTCTCCTGCCCAGTGACTGGTGGATTCAAACCACTGATCTTGTGGTTAGCAGCCCAACACATACATAAACCACTATGCACCAGGGCTGAAACTAGAGAATACACATGTGTTAACCTGCGTGGGATGTGGCATTGTAGGAGCAGCACTGGCTGCAAACCACAAGCTCGGCAGTTCGAACCCACCAGCTACTCCTCAGAAACTCTATCCAGGGTCACTGAGTCAGAACTGACTTGATGGCCCTTAACAACAAATGGGTGGAGGGAAAGACAACATATGGATCAGCACAATAGGACCAAGGCAAAAGATACCGGGAAAGTGGACAAGAGGAAGGGCAACAAAGGTAACACTACATACACTTCACTGCAAACACAGTTAGTAACAATCACCCGCAAGTCAACACAAAGGCATGTGCAAAAACAAAGCCATGCCATGCCTACCACAGCCATCTCTACTCAGCTGGGTTTGAGAAGTCATTGTAATGAACACCTAGAACTCTGATACCATACTCAGTTTGGGGAGTTATTGGGGAAGTTACAGGTTACAAGTAAGAGTCAGAAATGTTCAGGGTACAGTTGTTTGAGTTAGGGCAGCCTCTTCTCTGTCATGCCCACAGGCAGATCTCTGGTCCTCAGCTTGGTCTCTGCCCTGCTCCAGCAACCTTACAGATTTCTTTTAGGGCACAGATGAAAGCCCACAGGGCACACCACTCTACTATAAGCCTTAGTCTGAAAGCACTTGGATCTAGTTCTGTGGATCAGCAAACCTAGCTCCCCCACTTATGTGTGTACCCGACTCTGTAATCAAGCCTCTAGCCCACAGTCACTCAGCTTTACTTGTTCTGTGGGCTGGGAAGCCCACCACTCGTGGTTCTGCTGCAGCTACTCCTCTGCCACTCCTCCAGGGACACAGCTTCCTGTCTCTGAGCCAAGGAGGTCCAATGTGCAGGGATCTTGGAGTTCAAAGGCCACCTTCCACTCCTGCCTCTTCTTCATGGTAGTCAGATCCCATCTCCAGATTCTGAGATGGCTCATTTCATACCCACATTAGAATTCTAAGTTCCACAATTAACCCTGTTAATCACTCACAACTGAATTATAATGCTCTATTAGCATCTTCTCCCACCTTTGCTTACCCAGACCCGCCAGGAAAAAGTTTTTTTGGTGAGAGTCACAAGAACTGTGGGTAGAAGACCCATATAAACAAACCCACTGCACTGCCGGACACCACTGACTCTTCTAGCCATTGGCCCTTTTATATTTCAAAGGTTAACTTTTCCCCATAACAGTATTTTTTAACTGAGCACACCCATGAAAGCCAGCCACTTCATGTCTTTATATCCTCCTATTTTAGATATCCAATTTCTAAATTGCCTGACTCTGTCAATCTGGTGTGGTGCTGTAGGATAAGCATTATACTGTAAAGTCGGTTTGAACTGCAAGGTCAGAGGTTCAAACTCACCAGCCGCTCCTTGGAAACCCTATACAGGGTCACTATGAGTCAGAA